CCAGCCGGTTCAGGGTGTCCCCCGCCTACTGCCCGAAGACGGCTGGAATAGGCTCCAGCACCCCCTGCACCCTTGTGAAGATAAAGCAGATCAGAAAATGGATGGATGGACACAAACGTCAGACCATCAGTCAAATAAAAAAAAAAAAACACTCAATTAAAAACACATACATGCACACAAATGTGTACAAAATGTAAACGAATAATTAAGATTATTTATTTCCAGTCAATACGGTCATTATTTATAAAATGTTTTGAATTTATCATATTATATATCATTGGCACTGGATCAGAATTCCTTTGTAAAATCTGTTCAATTTGATATTTTTTCACAAATCTATCAGATACTCCTTGTCAGTCCACATGTGTGGGTGCTATTTATTTTACAAACTAGTTGATAGATTGATTATTTTTAGTTATCTTACATTCGCTTATTATTAATGTTATTATTGTTATTTTGATATTGATTGATTGATTGATTATGCTCGCAAAGAAGAAAGCTTATGCCTGCAATGATAAATTGATTATGCTTGCAAAGATGAACGCTTATGCCTCTAATCATTAATTGACTATGCCTGCAATGAAGAACGCTTATGCTTCTAATAAAGATATATTAATCATTATGTACTCACATTTATAATCCTTTGTATTATATTTATATACTCACATTTATAATCAAGAATGCTTAGTGCACTGTGTGGAAGTTTAGGGACGCAACCACCTTTCCGAGGACGTGGTTGGGAAGAGATAAGTGTTAAGACTAAACAGGAGCAAGGTTGGACAGTGAATGGAGCCATCAACACCAGCTGCATCGTGATGTTTTTGTAACAATTGCACACATGTACGTAATTTACACCCACATACACACACATAGTCAAACAAGTTCAGTGTGTCTTCAACAGCCCCCACCCTTTAGGTTGGACACACCTATGTAGTAGATTCCCCAATAAATAAGGGGGTGAAGGGGGAGATCGTGAGGGGTGACGTGCCGAGAACTGAAACCGAACGCTTCTCCTCGTTCCCTCCTGGTACCAGAATTGAGTCTCCTGTCTCCTCCTTGTGTTTTATTCCTGAGTGTCAAATTGGATAAACCTGACACTGTGGTACATGTTTAGTGTGGCACACACCTTGTCATCAAACAGCATAGTGACAATTTTAAGTCGCGTCACTGCCTGGTTCGAAGTTTGAAGACACCTGGCATGTGAAGCTAAATAGAGGACACACCTTGATTAAACGTCCTTATGGTTCAATTTTTTCCCTCCAATCTTTTCTAGGGGTACCAATTGTTTTGTTGAGGCCTATTTCGCATGTTTTTTTTTTTTTTTAATCATTTGATTGAATATCAAGAAGGCATCAGCTGTGTACTATATAACCGCTTAAATGAACAGGAGACCATCCCTGGCATTTAAAAATATAGAAAGAAGGGGCACCTGTCAGACTCAATGATATCAGCATCAACATCTTAGCACCCTTGGTTGCCAATACATGACTTCATCTCCAAAACTCAATGGACATTGTTGATCAAGGTCAGACACCCAAAGCTGGACAAAAATGAAAATATGGTTTAATTCTGTTACATTCTTTTTCACATGCATTCCAACTCAGGATGTACAGCCATGGCCAAAGGTTTTGAGAATGACACTCAAAATGTATTAATTTTCACAAAGTCAACTGACCATTTTTTTTTTTTTATGATGGCAATTTGCATGTACTCCAGTATGTTTTGAAGAATTATGAGATGGATATCAATAAATTGCAAAGTCCCTCTTTGCCATGAAAATGATCTGAACTGAACTTCAAGGAGAGAGTATCAATTGCTGTGAAAAAGGCTTCAGGGTGCCTAAGAAAGTCCAGAAAACACCAGGGCTGTCTCCAAAGGTTGATTCAGATGAGGGAACTGAGCACAATGGACCAGAATTTCCTTGAAGCTGTCTGAAGTAATTTTCCATGGCCTTGCCGAAAGCCTCCCATACCCGAATTTTCTGCTCATTGACCACCGAAGATGCATTCCGCTTGGCCAGTCGGTACCAGTCAGCTGCCTCCGGTGTCATACAGGCCAAAAAGGACCGATGGGAGTCTTACTTCAGCTTGACAGCATACCTTACCACGGGTGTCCACCAGTGGATATGGGAAATGCCGCCATAACAGTCACTGAGCACCTTGCGGCCACAGCCCCAATCAGCTGCCTCAACAACGGAGGCACGAAACACGATCCACTCTGAATCAATGTCCCTGCCTCCCCTGGGACATGGGTGAAGTTCTGATGCGGGTGGGAGTTGAATCTCTTTCTGACAGGGCATTCTGACAAACCTTCCAAGCAAACCCTCACAATACGTTTGGGTCTGCCAGGTTGGACTGGCATCTTCCTCCACCATCTGAGCCAACACACCACCAGGTGGTGATCACTTGACAGCTCTGCCCTTTTCTACACCCAAGTATCCAAAACATACGGCTGCAAATCCGACGACACACTACAAAGTCGATTATCAAACTGTGGCCTTGGTTGTCCTGGTGCCAAACGCACATATGGACATCCTTATGTTTGAACAAGGTGTTCGTTCTGGACAAGCCGTGACAAGCACAGATGTCCAGTAATAGAACGTTACCCAGATTTAGATCGGGGATTGGGGTGAGGGTGGGGGGGCGTTCCTTACAATCATGACCTTGCAGGTCATACTGTCATTGCCCACGTGAGCATTGAACTCCCCCAGCAGAACGATGGAGTCCCCAGAAGGAGCAGACTTCAGCACCCCTTCTAAGGACTATATCTAGTCAGAACTTCTCTGCCTCACACACTAGCTCCGTCTCCTCTGCCAGAGAGGTGACATTCCATGTCCCTAAAGGTAGTTTATGTAGCTGGAG